GATGGATGTCAAGTTTTATTTTTCTCTCGTAGCTTCTTTTCCCTCTTCCGAATTTTGTATTTATCGTTCCCTTGTCTTGGCAAATGAGAAAGAAAGCCTTGCTGTGTTAGTTTAAAGTGTGTGTGTGTAAATGATGGGGAGTTCAGTAATGCTGGGCTTGGAGCTTTATGAAAGTGGCTGCGCCCTCTGTAGTGCTCTGGGACTTTCTTCCCCAGCCCCCGCGCTCATTCTGTTTCTGGGGCCACTCTTGCTGCTTGTAGCTGTGGACTAGCCGTGTTTTCTTCATCCACTTGTGCTATTTCCTGTTTGGACCTCTAAGGATTTGGGATGACTCCCAAGCAAAGGGCTCCAGTTAACTGTAATTTAAAATTTTTTTGCAAGCTGTCATTAAGTTTTCCCATGTTGCTTGGCTTTATGGGAAGCTTTTTAGTCATTTACTAATTTAATGACAGACATCCTTAGCCTTAGAAATTTGTAGTGAGTATTTCCTATTGAGATTGTTAGAATTAATGCAAAATACAAGTTAGATCATTTTGCAGCAATAGTTTAATGCTTTCAAACTCAATACAGTCAGAGAAACTGTCCAGAAGGAAAGCCTTCATGCTTCACCTTGAGGGGTGAGGGCTGTGGTCAGCACATTGCGGTTGGGGGCATGTGAACAGGCTCCTTAGAAGCATGAAAACAGTGTCTTTTCATGTTGACCTTTTCTGGTCAAGTTACGTTGTTCCTTTTTCTAGATACTCAGCTTCTAGTTAATCCCTTCTGAACTTCCCATTATGTCTGAATTAAAGATTCAGTGTAGCTTGACTTATATCTGAAAACTTTCCCTTGTTCTCAGGATTATTGTTAAAATCTAGTTGAGACTATTTCCAAAGACCAGACGTTGTAGGGTTATGGGTAGTCTGTGAGTTAGAATTGTGTGTAAAATGTTCTGTGCGTGTGCAGTTTTCCGGATTCTTCACTTTAACTAGAGTCTGGGAGTTTGTAATTCCCCAAAACAATTCTTTTAAGCCGCGGTTTCTTCAGCTTGGCTTTGCTAATCTGTTGGGCCAGGTCGTCAGGGTCTCTCCTGTGCACCGCAGGATGTTCAGAAGTGTCCTGGGCCCTTTCCTGTTAGGTCCCCTCATGCATAGTGATGACAGCTGCAAATGTCTCCATACGTCCTCTTGTCTCCCGGGGGCTGTGGGGAGGGCAGAATCAATCCCAGTTGAGAAACGCCAGTTCATTTTTTTTAAAGAGCGGTTTTAGGTGCACAGCAAAGGTGAGCAGAAGCTGCAGAGATTTCCCCTGCACCCTGGGCCTCTGCCGCTGTTGGCATCCCCCGCGAGAGTCAGAGCTGACGCGCCTGCCCTGCATCATCATCACTCAGTCCATGGTTTTCCTTCAGACTCGCTCTTGGTGGTTGTACATCCTGTGGGTTTGGACAGATTTGAAATGACATATCCCCCTGATGCCTGCACACATCACCACCAAGCAGGCAGCGGGTCAGCCCGTGTGTGTGTGTGTGTGTGTTGTGTTTTCACTGAGTTGTGTCCAACTCTTTGCAACCCCCATAAACTGTAGCCCTCCAGGCTCCTCTGTCCATGGGATCTCCCAGGCAAGAATACTGGCGTGGGTTGCCACTTCCTTCTCCAGGGGATCTTCCTGACCCAGGGATCGAACTCACATCTCCTGCCTTGTAGGCAGATTCTTTACCACTGAGCCAGCAGGGAGGCCCTGAGTGACACATGCCTGCCATTATCACCATTATATATAGTAGTATATATAGCATTATATATAGTATGTAATATAGTTTCACTGCCCTGAAATTCCTCTGTGCTCTGCTGTTCTCATCTCTCTCTCCCAGCCCCTGGCAACCACTAATTTTTTTTTTATTGTCTCTGTAGTTTTGTCTTTTCCAAAAGGTCATAGCTGGATTCACATGGCAGGTAGCCTTTTCAGATTACTTAGTGGGTGCGCAGAATTTGTCTCCTGCATGTCCTTTCATGGTGTCATAACATCCCATTGTCTGTATGTGTTACCGCAGTTTCTTTATCCAACTCACCTCTGAAGCTGTCTTCGCTGCTTCCAGGTTTTGGCAGTTGTGAACAAAGCTGCCATAGACAGTTGAGGGCAGGCTTCCGTGAGAACCGTCCTCTCCAGCGTGACTGCTGGGCTGTGTGCTAAGTGTGTTGAGTTTTGTAAGAGACTGCTGAGCTGTCTTTGGAAGTGGCTGCCCCATTGTGCGTATCCTCCGGCAACGAATCAGAGTTAACTGTGGTGCCACGTTCTTTTCAGCTTTTGGTGTTAACAGAATTCTGGATTTCATCCATTCTAATGGATGTGTAATAGTATCTCATTTTACTTTGTATTTCTCTGGTGACGTGTGATGTTGAGCATCTTTTCTATTTACCATCTGTTAAGGTCTTTGGCCCATTAGTTTATACTTTTTAACTAGCTTGACTTGATTCATTCAGGGTTTTCTCTTCTTGCATGGCCAAGGGCGTACAGAGCTATTTACAGAGTTTTGAACAGCTAGCTTCTGTTGAGAGCGATAGGAGAGACTTCTGGGTTGGCCTGAGTGGGGCACATGTTATAAAATATTTATATTTTAGAATATTTTAGAAAATTGAAATATGTATTTGTGCACATAACACAAAAACACTCCCAGTCAAACATACACTGGTATGTATTATGCATTTCACAAGTATTCTCTAAATCATCCTGACAACTCTTTGATGTAGATAGTATCCTCATTTTATGGATTATCAACCTTTAAAAATAAAATAGCTGGTTATTTTACCAGCAGAACGGACTTATTTGGGAATTGCGAAGAATTACAGTTCAGGAAAAAAAAATAGCAAAGTGTAGCAAACAAGGGGGAGGAACCTTACTGTATAGAGAAAAGGAGGACGCTGAGAAGGGGCGCTTGCAAGGATGGCCCCTGGGGGAAGGGGAGGGCTCGGGGGCTCGGGGTGGTGATGTCTTCCCGCGGGCCGGGCTTGTGCCGGACGATGGGAAATCTTCCCTCCTGGAATGCAGGGTCCTCTCTCCTGTTGGAGTGTGTAATTGGTGGCGTGTGTTGGTGCTTGAAAGCTCCCCCTTCTGGCCGCCTGGCTCCATTTTAAATGTAGTGTCCTTTATTCCCCTTCACAGAATGAATAGATGTCCCTGGGGGTTAAGAAATTTGCCCAAGGTCCTAAGTTAATATAAGTCAGCAGCGTCAAATTAGTTCACGTGTGTGTTCTTGACCCTAGAGGTACTAAAATGTCTTCCATGTCGGTGGGCCAGACCCATGTCCCGTGGCCTTGGCTGGCATAGAAGGCCTGGGACACGTGGGGAATACCTGGTCGCCGGGAAGTTTCACTAAGCCAAGCAAGTGTTTCTGCGGTGTGTGTATGTCTCTGCAGACTATAGCCTGTTTGCTGTGTCTCAGAATAAATTCTCGTTGACAACCACCTTGAGCCAGGGGACAGGTTTTTGTTTCCTGTTTTACAGCCTGCTGTATATACTGTATCGATTACCTGCCTTCAGTGAGCATATGCATTATGTCTCTGGGGGTATATAAAGCGGTCTTTGTCCCACAGCCTGTTTGTGGTTGATGTACACGGAAGTGCAGGTGGTCGGATTCAGAGTTTATATTTTATCACTGTCAAATGTAGCATTTCCAGGATTACCTCGTATAGTTCATAAAGATTCTGGAGCTTGTTGATTTCGGGCTTTCAGGAGTCCTGAGATGGGTCTGAGCAGAGCAGATGAAGGTTGCAGACCAGACGGTGCCTCTGGTGGGTTGTGTTGGGGCCCACCTGCCTTACTTGCAGTTGCTAGCATCGCATGCGGTGGGCTTCACCGTCTTCCCAGGCCCGCCTGTCTCACCTGGCTTCCTTCTGTGTTAGAGCCCACTGCGCACTGAATTAACACTCTGCACTCTCCCGGCCCCACCCCGCATTCAGTTCCTCCCTCGCTGCCTCCGTGGTCATTGCTCATCTGCAGTGCCCGGTGCGGTGTGTGTATCTCCGTGTGTATCTACAGCATAAGTGTTACAGTTGATTTCTTTTGCCTGTGCTGGGTCTTCACTGCTGAGCGGGCTGCTCTCTGGTTGTGCTGCGTGGGCTTCTCATTGCAGTGGCCTCTCTGTTGTGGAGCGCAGGCTCTCAGCACAAGGGCTTCATAATTGCGACTTGTGGGCTCAGTAGTTGCGGCTCCCAGGCTTAGTTGCTCTGAGGCATGCGGGATCTTCCCCGATCAGGGATCGAACCTGTGTCTCCTACATTGGCAGGTGGGTTCTTTACCAGTGGGCCTTCAGGGAAACCGTGCAGTGTGAATATTAAAGAGAGGAGTGTGAGAGCGAGGGCAGTCTTTGTCCTCCTGGCCCTGCGGAGCACCGACCCCAGTTTATGCCCTTGTCCACCTGGCCAGCGGGAGGGAGCTCTTGGCTGGAACTATTTCCAGTCTTGGTCTCTTTTGCAAGGGCCTGGCACCTGGGAAGGTAGGCCCGGCCTCGGATGAATGACTGCAGCCCTTAAACATTGGCCCACAACATTGGCGCACATCTTGTTCTTTGCCCTTTTTTTGTCCTTGGCTTGGAGCTCGTCGGGGAACCTCTCCTGGTGATGTGTCCTGATTGTCATGGCCGAGTTACAGCAGAGAACAAAGCGTGGTCTGCTCCTGAGCCTTCTCACTGCAGAACCAGCTGGGAGTCATGCACCCGCCGGTCTGTCGCGGTGGAGAAGGAAAGTGCGTGATACTTTGACACGTGTATTGAGCAGGGCAGCTTTCTGAACTCCTCAGCCCCCTTCCGCAAACATAACTACCTTTCGAATCCTCCACTTGAGACAGACGCTGCCATGCCGGAGGGCCCGGCCGGTCTCCCCCCAGGAGCCGTGGCAGAGGGCTCGCTGTGGGCCTGTCTGCTCTCAGGATACCTGGGCAAGCTGCAGCTGTCAGAGCGCCTTTGAAAAAGGGGGTTTGGTGTTTCTATCGGCAGAATGACTCAGACACTCCTGTTTGTCTCTTGGCAGAGTGATCAGCAGCTGGACTGTGCCTTGGACTTGATGAGGCGCCTGCCTCCACAGCAAATCGAGAAAAACCTCAGTGACCTGATCGACCTGGTGCGTACCTTGTTTGTGCGGTTTCATTTGGGGCTGAGGCCATACTAGGCCTTTAGATACCTTGTTTGACGCAGAGTTCAAATCACACAGGACCCCTCCTCTCCAGCTAGACGCCACCGCCGGCTTAAGAGGCTCCTCCGGAGAGGAGATGAGTGTCCTCTGACTGTCATTCTTTCTGTGCCGGCTGTTTCCATAAAGCCAAAGATAGGAGCTCTGAAGTCAGTACTACTTGCCCCCTTCCCCCAGATGCCTTGTTTCCGCTTTCTGGACGTTTACCGTTAGGCCCGGGTAAGCAGAGGCCACACACACCCGGGAGGACCCGGCTGCAGGCCGTGCTCGGCTCTCTGCCGCTGTGGACGCTTCTCCAGCCGAAGCAGGACGGAAGTCTAGCCTCCCAGGTGCTCCGGGGGCTTCACTTCTAGCTCAAAGGACACAGAGCACAAAACTGGGCTTTTAAAGAGCTCATCACGTCTGTTTTTAAAACACTTATTTGTATGAGAACAAATGATACAGAGGGGAACATTTTTAGACAAATACTTTCTGTATTGAAAACTCTGAAAAAAAAAAAGAAAAGAAAAATCTGTTACTCTTCAGCATAAGAAACAATGCAATTTCAACACCAGATCATCAAAAATGACTTCACTGTGGAAACTTTTGGAATTTTCTGACAGTATTGATTGGAGTGGAATGCAATTCTATTTAGATTTCTTCTTTGATTAGTAGAACTATTTTTAAAATATTATATGTATATAGTTAACTGAGATAATCACAAAATGATTTTATAATGCGATTTCAAGGTAATTAAATATGTGTATCTTTAAAAAAAAGTATTTGTTTATTCATGTATTTATACATTCATGGAATGACTGGTCTCAAAATGATGCCAGAGATTCACTGGCACCATAATGTTATTTGAAAATGTTCAAAGTATTCAAAAAAGCCTATAAAACTATGAGAAATCGTGAAAGAAGTCAAATGAGATCAGGAGCCAGCTGAGTTACTGGATCACTTGGCCGGCGGGTTCTGCCCCGGGCGGCAACCTGAGCCCACCCCGACCAGCCTCTGTTCTTGTCAGTGTCCCCCAGCTTCTCAGAGGGATGATCAGTTGCCAGCTGTTGCTCATCAGTTAGATGTCTTTTAAAAATAGTAGCTTTAAAACTTGTTCATACGCTGTAGTGATATATTTAGCTCCGTTGTATGCATTCAGAACAGTTTTACTAGGGAAGAACATTATTGCAGGAGACTCAGGCCATTCACAGATAAAACTCTTGCCAGCAGTCCGCAAGGTCCATTGTGCAGCTGTTTGTCAGCTTATATAGACACAGACCCCAAGAGAAAGGCAGCTGTGTGGACAGAGGCAAGCTGCTGGGTGGAACTGTGAGCTTGCTACCTCTTCTGTGTAATAATTCAGGAAGGAAGGAAGGAGAAGCGTTCTCCAGGAAGAGAGCTGTGATGAGGAAGCCCATTCCAGGTGCTTGTGATGGAAATGGGGAAAAGGTGGCTAGAAACGGTGGCAGCTCCTGGCCGGGCAGTGAGTCATTTCAGATGAGTGTGAAAGAACAGAAGCCTGAATTGCGATGCACGCAAACCCACCATGTGCTCGGCATTGGGGGTCCCACACCTGGCACCTGGTCAGAGTGGCCTTCATGTACAGACGAGGTCTGGCCAGCGCGCCCTTTGCTTCTTGCCCCGTGAGCTCTGGTTCTCTGGGGCTTGTTTTCAGATTTCTCTGGGAGTGCCGTACATTGGGAAGTTCTGTGTGAAAGATGCTAATTTTTAAACATTGGCTCAGACATTGGATGGGCGTGTGAAATGTGAGTCAGAGAAACAGTCTTTGTTGGGAAGTGGAGAAACATGAAGTTGGATGGGTAGGAGGTGTCCTTGGAAGTCATCGGAGGGGCTTGGATTTGACATGGCATCGTCACCATCGCCCCACGTCCTGTCTTGTGGGCAGTGCGTTGTCCCGAGCGCTTTCTCTGGCGTGGCCTCAGTTAACTCTCAGCAGTCCCGTCGGGTCGCAGCACACGAGGCAGCCTGGGCCGTGCTGCGTGGCCTGTTTTCCTTGGAGAGGTCTAACTGGCCAGCTGTGACCGGGGGTGGGCAGAAGCCACGGGTAGGACCGGGCCCCTCAGCTGGCCAGCCCGGAGGCCACACTGCTGCTCCTCCCCTGAGCGTCACGGCATGCCCGGCTGCATGTCGATTCAGCTTGCCAATGTAGTTATTACTGTGTTTTAGAAACAGACCAAACATAGAAGTCAGAAATGATGAGCAGATTGTTTTCTCAGTAGAGTCTTCGTGGTGTTTCGCAGGCTGTTTTGTTCTTATGGCAACTGAAGTGTTTTCCTCCAGCTGTGTCCTGTCGCGCTGACGCCCCCGTCCCTGTCACAGAGATGAGTGTGTAGCCGCTTCGGTGGAAACCTGGTCAGTGGGTTCCTGGGTGGTATAGACCAGTTCTCCCTGGGCTCAGCAGGGAAATCGCAGTGTTGATGGTGAATGAAAGAGTGAGTCACGCGCCACCCTTCACCTTGGCCAGGTGACTCCCCGCCTGGGTGTTAGTTTGCAGGAGGGCGCTGAGGCCCAGGTGAGGTCCCGCACTGTGAGGTCCCTGCTGGGCCACGGGGAGGAAGCGGCACCCAGAGGGCATGGTCAGGGGGCACTGTTGTCCCACCTGCAGCATTTTCTGTGGAATGTGACTGGAGAGGGGACGGAGGCAGGGGGCCAGCGGCTAACGTTTGGTGAGCACGTCCGCGTCCCCAGGACTGAGCTGGATACTGGTTGTGTTATTTCATCTAATTTTCCAAAGAAAAAAGGGACAGTTTTAAAATTCAAACCGCTGGGAATGATCCCTCAGACAAACCTTACAGATCGTAAGCTTTCGTCATCTGAGCAAGCGACTTGAGTGTATTCCAACTGTTTTTGAACTCGTAACTGTATATCGTAATACCTGGTTCATAACTAAGCTTTTAAGTAGAGTCGTGAGATGTCTCGTTGGCCTCTTTATGTCTGCATTCACATTATACGTGGGTTCCCTGGTGGCTTAGCAGGTAAAGAATTCACCTACAACGCAGGAGACCCTGCGGATGCAGGTTCGATTCCTTCGTCAGGAAGACACCCTGGAGGAGGAAAATGGCAACCCAGTCCAGTATTCTTGCCTGGAAAATTCCACGGACAGAGGAGCCTGGAAGACTACAATCTGTGGGTCTCAAAGAGCCAGACACTGCTGACGCACGCATGCGCTGATTTTCACAGCACCCCTCTAATGTACGCGGGACCGCTTCTCCTTTGTTGGATGGCGTAAACTCGGAGGAAGAAGCAGGGTGGTGCTGGGTGCCTTTACTTCATATCAGAGCCACAGATTTAACGTGGTGCTTCTTCCTCATCTGTCTGTCTTACCTGTTTACGGGGGAAATGTTAAATGTTTACGGATCTACAACATTTAAAACATAGACTGTATTAAGGAAAATCATTTAAAGTCCGCGTAATTAAAAACAGCCAGAGACCTGAAGGCTGTTCTCTGTGGGCTGGCCACTTAGGATACACAGCTCGCTCTGGTCCACTGCTTCACTGGGCACTGGGGAGGCGCCTCTGTCCCCTCGCTCAGCTGTGTGGGGCCAGCCTTTTATTTAAAAAAATTTTTTTTCACCATTTTTTAAGTCTTTACCTATTTGTTACAACACTGCTTCTGTTTTGTGCTTTGGTCTTTTGGCTTCAAGGCATGTGGGATCCTAGCTCCCCGACCAGGGGTCGAACCCGCCCCCCACCTCCTGGAGTGGAAGGTGAAGGCTCGAGCACTGGACCTCCAAGGAAGTCCCTCGCTCCTTTTTTCGTTTGAAGTATGATGAGTGTGGAAATGGAAATGGAGCCTGACCGTGCTCTGAATTAGGGTCTGATGAGGCACGTGCTTCAGAAATGCGGCCGGGGCCCCTGCTGTGCACTGTGAGGGATTCGGCGTTTGGGCAGGTTTTGTAGGTCCTGGAAGTCGCTTCCTTGGATGTTCACCTTCCGTCACTGCTGTTTTCCTTCTGTTTTCCCGGGCGGGACAGGCCTGTCTGTGTTGTTTTGTGTTTTTGTTTTTTCTTTCTAACTGGACTAGCAGAATTCCTTCCTTCTTATTAGTCAGTCTGTGCTGGGTGCAGCGCTATGGCCCTGAAGTTCACTTGCAGTTTCAGTTCCTCCTCAAAGCAGTAATTTGAGGAGACTCGCCCCGTCTTGAGCCCGTCTAGAAGCCATGCGTCCAGGCCTTTGTTCCCTGTAATCTGGGATCAGGCAGACGTTCTCAGAGCCACTGTTGGCCCGGCCCGGCCCAGCCCAGCTGTCTTCACAGCCCTTCCTCTCCGGTTCACCTGCAGCCAGTAATGACGGGGAGGTGGTGCTGTTCTCAAGAAAAGCCTCCAGCTCTTAAGGCTGAATGTTGGGATTTGCCAGCACTGCCCATGGAGGGAATGGCCTCACTTAGATGTCGGAGCCAGGGAAGTACCGGAATCCATCCGGTCCACCGGTGGCCTGATTCCCAAGCAGCATTAAAGAGACATGTGGAGGGTGCCTGGCAGCTTTGGGCCAAGGCAGCCCGATTTATCGTGCCAGGTTGGTTTGCTTTTTTCTTTCCACCGTCAGAGCTTTTGCTGCCTGGGATTATGGTGCGTGCTCTGATTGGTGGGAAATGACCTTCCTTTGCAGATGGCCAGGGCATCATTTTATTACATATTAATCCCATTGTGCTCGAGTGAAGCCAGCCGAAAGCCATGGTTAAGCCGTTTCAGAAATACCTGCAGGTCCATGTGGGCCAAGAATCACATGCCGTTAAGATGCTCCCTCGGCTTCCTCAACTTTGACCTTCTGTGGCTTTACTCCACACTGGCAGCAAGAGCCGAGACCTCTCCACTGGGGGTGTATTTTGAGCCCTGAGCTGAGGAAGGAGTTTGTTTCTGCAAATGGGTACCCAGCAGGCTAGCCGTCCTTTGCCTTTTTAAGAGCAAACCAAAAATAGACCTAAATCTGTT